CCATTTACTGAACTTCAGCGCTGAACTTCAGCGCTTCGTGCCTCTGGCTGAATTCATTGGTAAGATTCCTAATGGTTCGAGAGGATTGGAGCAGTACAAAATTCTCGTCGACGTAATGATGGTAAGGACTGAGGTCCGTGATGACCGATTTTAACTTGCGCCTTTCAAACATACCCATGAATAGGGGAAACGGTCCAAGTGGAGAGCCCACAGCAACTCCATCGTGATGTCAATACAATTCGCCATTAAGCAGCTACTGGATGTCGAAAGTGCACGGAAGCATCGGTTCCTCTAGGACCACCGTAGGTATAACAATAGCTACCGGTTTTTCGACATTATCACAGATGTAATTTATAGTTTCAAATAACGAACATTTGTAAAAAGTGAGGGCACATCGATAGGGCACATGGTCAGATCCGTGATATTTAGATCGCACACGCTATCCACCAAATCGTAACTGTCCTTAAGGCTGTGCACAGCAACTCGTTTTCGAACAGGTTCCAGAAACTCGACCGACCACCGCGCAGTAGGGTGGTACGGTGCGCTCTTCATATCTAAGGCTGGTCGTAAGGAGACGTCAGACTTATGCGTTTTAGGAAGATCATATAGTCTAGGAATTATGCTGCCTGTGGGGCGTAGATTTTCACATTTATTCTCACTGATATAACCAGCTTCCCCAAAAATTTTGAGACAGTTGCGGATTTGACTTTCGATGTGCTTTTGTCTTGTCCTTCTCATTAAGCATCTTCGACAACTTGGTATCGCCTGCCAATAGCTCGTTCATTTTCCGGATGTAGTCTGCTTTGTTCATAACAACTATACCCGCGCCTTTATCCGGCCTAGTAAGCAAAATATCTTTATTGCTAACTAGGTGCTTTAAAGCCTGGATGTGCTATGTTTCACTGAAGTATTATGCTTTATCCCAGCTCGGTGACGGAGAATTGACCGTCCAGTGCCTTTTCAGGCATGTGGTATGCGGTTGATTTGTGCACACTCTTCTTCCATTTCCTCCTCAGACGTCGCGTCATTTTGTATTGCACTCATAAACATCGGTTACTGACCTGGCTTGCAATTTGCCTATTTTCAATGACCATCATTTGTCGGGCTACATCTTATTGTTTCACTTTCATGTTACACCTCATAGTACTTCATCACTTATCGCTCTCTACGGGATGAACACCAGTCTCTTGTTGATGGCACACTTACTTACGTGGGTGTAGTTGTGTTTTTCACTGATGGTGCAGATAGCCTGCTGCTAGTACGCCAGCTGACCGGCTCACTTTCCGGGTTACAAGACAAAGACCTCAGGCGAAAACTGTATTGAACACCCGACAAGCAGTATAAGTGATCAACTAATCAGATCTAATCAAAAGTTAATAAGGAAATGGCCTAACGCTCACTGTCTGGCTTCAAAGCAGACCATCCTCATTTTTAACGTTGAAGATAAAACGTCATCATTGGCCGGCTCTCGTTGGTTAGCCAATCCGCTTCGGGATGCGTCATGTTCAACTGTTCCGGGCTGCTGGTAAAGAGTGCCGGATCCCTCAAGTGGTGTGCTTCCGGCACCTGCAGTAGCATGGGCCTCTAGTGTGGTTGACCTTCGACTTTCGTGCTGCGACCTAGTGTATGTATTGATTTGATATTTACTACTCTTTAATCTGCATATATTAGTGTTGTCTCAACGGGTCTTTTACCTGCTCCACTTTGTTATGATTTTGTCACATTTTCTTGTCTCCGATCCCATCAACTTTAACATTTATTGTACTCGGTAGAATGGCTGAAGTCACTCCTATCCAATAAGTTCTTGTTGCTTCTTGGAAATCGTTAATGGAGGACTCCCTCGCCTGCTTTCACCCTTGTTTCGTAATCACGACTGTGAGCGTTGTTGGTGACGCGATTGTTTATGCAGACCACTTGTCCGAGGCGGAATGACACCGCATGAGCGTCATGCGGTGTGCTCATGAGCACCAACATCGTGATGAGGCTGGACCTTACCGTGGTGCGATGGTTTGCGTGCTTCAGTGATCCAATGAGCTTTGCTGGGTAGTGCTTTTCGTATCTTCAGAGCCGCTCATACCATATTAGTCAGTGGCCAGAGGCTAAACAAACAGCTCCCTGGTCCTACAGGTTGCGGCTTGGAACGAGGGTTGCTCCTTATTCTTTAAAACAGACCCCTTGTAACCACTGCCAAACCCGCTGCCTTGCGGTCAATTTTTTGAACCAAAGGCCTTGGTTGAGAACCCTAATCACTCACCTGTCTAGGCCTGGACAGCCTGACAGTGTGCTGTCCGCGTAATACTACTCTCTTCTTGTTACTCTGGCCGTCTCATAGGCTAATCAACGGCGCCCTATCTGCTGCATCAAGCGGGGTGTATAGGGGTTTGAATGCTACTGCTCAAGGCTCTTCCCTTTTCACCCTTATCATCGCGTTCCAACTTCACTTTTATCACCGCTCCATTTTCAACCCCTAATTTCTTGGCCCTTCCCCATTTTGTTTTGATAGTCGTGTATGCAGCACAATAGCTTAGGTGTTTTCTACCTCTAGGTAACCTGTACAATGATGATGACGATGATGATTCTTGAGCACGAACACCTTTCGGCATTTTCGTTTTACTCACGTTACTTGTTGCTCGCTGATCGTAGCTGTGCACTTTTCTCCAGACCGACGATGTTCTCATCATCTATGAATATGGAACGTCGGGTTAAATTCCAGTGCTGTTTAAAATCCCGACCATTCGTTCCCTTGTGCATAACCCTTGCTATTTTTGCACAAACGAAGCGCATGGTTTTAAGCTTGTGTGCTCCTCACATGTCGATAAAGTTCGCGCCAAACGAGCACGTCATCCCTACTGAAAATATCAATAGCATCGAATGAATGAATGAAATTTGCAACCTAGGGACTGCCATCAACTTCATTCGATCCCCATGAATGATTCATCTGGATGGAAGATGAATTTCCAAAAAGTTTGTCGAATGGACTTGTACACTGGTGTGGTTCCATTGGGTAATCTTAACTTCACGCTGTCCACAACACGTTTGGAGGGGTGCTCAGAGTTGTCGGTCCTTATAGTCCATTTCCAATTCAACCACTTGAATATGCTACTTGTCTTACATTTGAGTTGCTAAGATTGTGCCATTTTTATGGCCGGTTAACTTACCCTGTTTTGCTAGCCATTGTAATTTTGCTAGGGCTGCCTTATTCTTCCTTTCTATTAAATCTTCTCGTAGTCTTTATCACGTTGCGTTTCTTCTAGAAGGTCTATCAATACAGCTATTATTTCCCTTGTCGGGATCCACGCTAAATGGGATCCCCCCATTGTACGCTCTCCGATAACCGAGTTCGAATCGCTGCTGACTGGCCATGAGTTACTTGCCGATTACCTGACCTAACTGCCGATATTTAATCGATTCATCCATCTCATCCGTTGAAGTCATATTTGCCTATCTTTATCTGAAAATATTAGTGCACATCTTGCGGTAACCGTGCTCATGAATCTAGCGCATTTTCGACGCAAGAGTAAGTGGTTTAGTTCCACAGAATTGGATTCTGGCCTCCACTCTGACGCCGTCATGCTCAAAGGGTGAACATTACGCGAAGTTTTCTGTCGAGCATGATTAATGACAGTTGGGGGCAGCGAAATCCATAGGGGAATTTGTTTCGCGGGGCCCCTTAGCGCAAAGTGACTATGATTATATGGTGTTCTGGATGTGTGGCCCTCCTGAATCATTGCTTTTGCTCTGTACGCTCCGCTGTTGTTGGCGCACTCAGATCCGCCTGGATTTTCACTTGAGCTCCCATATGGTCTGAGACTGGTGCTTCAGTATACTACGCTTGGCCTCTCGACCTTTTCAGATCGACCATTGTGGTACACTTGTTTTGCTTTTATCTCTGCGGGGCACTGTAATCGTGCCTCTGGGTTGACGGTGGTCCACATTCATCCCCACGGAGTGTTGCGCGATTATCATCCGAACATCAACCCACTTCTATTTTATCCGAACTACTCCCTAGTAGTCCGACGGTTCACTGGTAGTTTAGATATTCGAACCTTTTGCTGTCCTGTCCTAAAGCTCTTCTGTCACCTACCTCGTCAAACCTCATGAACTGCGCACTGCTACCCGATTCATTGCTCTTCACACGCTGCAATCAAAGGTCACTTTATCCATCCTAGTTTGTCTCCCATCCATCCGTCATTGATGTGTGTGTGTTATTCGATGAACCACCTCCACGGTTGTCCGCGAACATTCAAGTTAAGTATTTAGTATGCTTTATGTTCCCATGACGAATGGGACCACCGCACTGGACTTTCTTTAACAACTGCGTCCGCTACACTGGATTAGTCATTTCTCACATGTGCCATCCTTACAGATGGTTTGCGGATGTGTTGGATTACTCATGTGTCCGGTTGGGGGCGACAAAACAAACTTGCTACATTGCCGTCAACCTTAGCAGAGAACCATCTGTACTATGGGTGTTTATTTGCCTTTGAACGTTTCATGGTTTGCCTCACCCTGCCGGTATCGATATGGATAAACTCAAACATTGTTTATGGTTTAAAATGTTCCAGAATACTCTTAACTTGGGTTACTTATTCAATTGGTTATTTGTTCACAGAGCTTGAAACTTTGCTTGCATATATTTTGCTACCATGCAAGGTGGCATCGTCAGTGCGGTGCTATACAAGTTGCAGTCCTGCCGATCCTCAAAATATATGCAATCAAATTTGCAAGCTCGGCGGATAGATGAACAAATGAATCGTATATGGTTATCACCGTACACTTTTGAGATACTTACCCTTTGGCGCACCCTTCACGAGCACAAAGTCAGTCCCTTCTTATGCTATTTGTGATACGGTTCGTGGTATACTTGGTTCGAAGTTCTATCCTGCACTACCCTTTTCACGGTCCACTGTTGTGTACTATTGGTCAAAACTACGAACAGCAGACTACCAATATCCTAGCGTAGCGTTAATCCCACGCCGCTTCATTCCGTGCCCTCTCAGCGGAAAGCTTTAACGGAAGCGTTTGGCTCCGTCAAGCGACAACGTGTGCTGAAGGAAATAGAACGTCATGCGGATCACCGAGCAGCCATGACAGACGCGGCTGTCATCACGCGAACCATGCATGGGCAAAAGCGCCTAAAGTCCGACGTCGCAGACGCCGAAGCTGCATCTTCAGGTAGGCATGCATGAGGTGGTTTCTCCCCTGTGTTTGCTACTCACTCATTTCAGTTTTTCCAATTACCAATTTACTGGTCAGCTTGCAGTTAGTTGGGACATTTCCGCCATCATCTCTGATAAGCTCGTCATTTCTTATAATTCTTTGTTATAGTTATGGCAGCCCCGTTTCATATGAGAAAAACACTGGTTTCTGCTATCAGGTGAAATGTCTGAGTAAGGGGCAAAAGCGTGAGATCCGATAGCATTTCCCTCTCGCTCTTTATGCTCGCTCAATACGTCTGAAATCAGTGCTGCCATACCTTAGTTCGATTTTTTCCTCCACCCTGTCCACATTTGCAGTCTTCTCTTAGCCGTAGCTATTCCTATTCTTTCATTAATTTTTCGCTGGGCATGGTATCATCTTCTGCTACGTTCTACTCATCCCATCTGTTACACACTTCAGGTGACACGCAACCCACTGATGAACGGACGCGTCTACTGCCTCCTTTCAACCCTAACGCGGCTATTCCACAAGATGTTTATATGTTTGATCGGCTCATACCCTCACGAATATTGGAAGCCCTGGGTAGTGAAGCGGAGACTTTAGCGACTGCTCCAATAAGGTCCTACGAGACGTGGTCCCAAGAGGGATTGTACCAAAAATGTGTGATTGATCGTCTTCTTCGGACTGCAGCCCTTGGCGGTTCAAATGAGCAACAGAAGAATTTTGGGAGTCGTATGCGAAATGCTCAGTGTCTAGCCTATCTCAGTCATATGCTGACATTGTACAATTTGCCTGCCCGGGCTATTCAACGTAAGCAACCCCTACCCAATACCCCAGCTCCCGTGGCCAAGCACTTACTGAGCGAATTCACTGTGATGATCAATCATGGAAGTGTAGGAAAAACCAAGCTTCGGTGAGTCTTCATTCCACCTCTCATTAGTATCAAATGTGTGCTTCGTTTCCTAACTACTTTTGGTTGTTTTCAGTCCTTTAGCTTCATCTGTGTCTTTAGGTGGATTTATTTGCAAAAATACATTAGTTATGTCAAAAACTGTCAAAAGCGAAACGTTTTGCCCACAAACTATATCAACCGGGTCTTTTCCAATTTTTTTTGAAAACACGAGCTAAGTCTTTTCTCCTTTGTTCTGATACGATATCAGTTTATTAAGAGATGTTGCCCTGCTGTAAGCTAATTGCATGCAGTACACATGCTCAGTGGATAGCGCATTATCCCAGTTCCATCAGTTAGACATCAAGATGCACAATTGGAACCTCGTGAATTCGACTATAAGAGCCAGTCGGATTGGTAAGCGTTGTGATTCTGAGCGGGCACAGGATAGACTGCGTCCGTAGTTAAGACATCTTGTCGAAACGGCATAATCATAGAGTCAGTTGTCTACTAAACTTCGCTCTGTTCGTTACTTCTAGCCATTACCTTTTGCCTTATCTGGCTCGTATTTATCTTCACATTTGTATACCTTGGCTAGTGGCCGAAAGGTGTGTTCACTTGCCGTGTAATCCGGAGGTCGCCGGTTCGCATCTAGGTATGTGCAGGCGACTCGCAGTATGCCCAGCGCACGCGCGACTGATGGTGGTTGCATAGCAGCTAAGTGACGCCACAGTGTGCTGATGTACTGCTGATACCTACTTTTGTTTGCCTATTTTTATCTGCTCGTCGTTATGGTCGTCCTGACAAGAACCACGGAACATAGAGCAACCGTGCTTCCGCCCCCGATCATAAGGGTTCAAATAGGCTGGACCTAACATCCTTGATGTGTACGCGCCAACATTTTCCATCTGCGCAGTTGCTGTGCACTGTGATCTGTGTCCATCTAGTTCTTGCTGCACATGTTTCCCATGTGATACATTCAGTAGTTTTAAAATTAAATGCTCACGTTTCGACGAGTGCACCAAGTTGTTGTTGTTGTTCTTGTTGTTGTGGTTGTTGTTGTTGTTCAAGCGTGCACAACTTTTGTTGACACTTCTGTCCGTTACTAGATGCTTTCTGTGCGATTGTCAGAGGTATGAACGATAGACTCGCAGTGCAGTGCTGCAGCCTCAACTCTCCCACTTTCATCATGTTGACCATTTTGTCTTCCAGCTTCATTTCTCCAGTTACTCGAGATCGACTTATTTATCATATGCTCGCCCTTATTCTACACTGTGACAACTTCGCCACCATCGTAGACGAACTTACCGTCGATTTCCGCTTGAGTTGTGACGCGTGAGTCCTAACTTATCTCAAAAATTGTTACTCATTTAGTGATGAGTTTTCACGTCGTTTTTGAGCAGTTAACGTAGTATGAATGTCTTCCCGGTGCTGATAAAGCCCAATCATTGTTCGGTTGTCTTATCGTTCACGGTCATTGCCATCTTGCATTCCTTCCACAATTTCCATTTCACCCCCAACGACAGCACTAGTAATAATAATACCAGTAGTTATAATAGTAATGTACCGAACGGAACTGAACGCAGTATTTATGTCTTCAGCTGTCACTGGGAATGAAAAACGCAACCTGCTTGGCTGTTATGGCAACGGCGTGTTAATTCCCCTCCTTTTTACTCAAAGCTTTGTCAAAGTCATCGCCACCACGTTCAAAGGGATTCCTGGGTCTCCATTTTAAGCATGTTTCCAAGGCGCGTGATAAATCTCGGGTCATGAAAATACCGGCATTCGATCGGCCATCGAACGAGCACGTCTGCGTGTCGTCGGTGTACAATGAAATGTCTCTGGATCTTCTTAGTTTTTCTTGATTTCACTAATAACCAGCTTAGTTTCGAAATGATATAGTTGGTTGATTGATCCTAGTCACTTTTTTGTTCTATTTTCCACGCTGCATTAGTATTTTACTGATAACAGACGACCACTCCCGATTTTGTGAAAAGTGTCCTAATTACCTCACTCGGATTTAAATGATGCAAGTTCATTCTCGTACCAGCATAGCCTATGCCGTCAGTGACCACGTAGTGTCATACAAAGAACGTTCTTCGATAGACGTCGTTCGATTCCCCTTTCCCCGCCACTCATCTCGGGGTGTACAACTAGTGCACCTGTTATTTGTAATCATAAATTGTGCTTCATCATCATCTGCTTGCGATTCATAACATTCCACTCCCGCCTATCATCACAGTCATCACGGTTACAGTCTTGGGCGGATCCCATTTGCCCCGCTTAAAATGGACGCGCACTTTCTGTGTCCATCCTATTTCTGTTGGGGCGTGTCCGCTTCACACCCTATCTTCAAACCTCCCATCTAAGCTTACCACTTTTTACACGCACAGGTTACGGCGTTACCTTCTGTACATGGGTTGTCGTGTGCACAAGGAAGAGACGAACGAAAGCGAGGGGACTGTTCATCGAACGAAGGCCGTGCTCGTCACTCCGGTTAAATTTCCCCATGGAAGTTTACATCGAACCAAATCAAAAAACATGCTTCTATGAGCAACAAACCTCCCCCGCCCCACCGTGTACATGTGTATGCATATGCAGTGCATTCTCCTTCGACTTTTTGAATCTACAACTCATTTCCAGGGAAATTTGCTCTCGCCAATTTTCCCATAAACTCCATACAGAGGATTGTATAAACCTGTTGCTTCTTGTCATATTTCACTTTCTTAACGTGTCTTGAAAAGCACTGTCGTATTCGATAGCCATGAGTGTTACACGCTGTTCTCCTTACCAACCCGATTCCAACATCAAGCCAGATTCTCATGTCATTGGTCTACCAACTGAATGATCGCTCATCTCCGCGCTAAAGCATCGCTGGTGTCGCAGCGCTACGTAATTAGAATTTCATTATCTGCTTACCCCAATATGTAATCTCAACGGTCTATCAACTAGACACAGAGCCAAATTAAAACCATGGAGATCAGCTGCTACGCAAGATTCATCGCGTCATAATCATCGTGGCATGCTAGTTGAAGGTGAGCAACACACTTCAACTAAAATGCCGCAGGAAGAATGGAACATTTTGACAAAAAGTAGAACAAAACATTTTTAGTTTGTTTGTCACACGTCGAGTTTTTCTCTTTTTGTCATTTTCAATGCTGATAGTATTAAACATGTGAATCAATACAATATTGTACACAATTCTTTCACTGATTCCGGTTGCGGGCCATATCTTCAAGAGTGCTAAGCTATTGGCACTCCTCATCTTTGGGTCCCCATCCTGGGAGACGTACAGATCCAACAGCGGCTAGATACGACGTCAGCGATGTGCTGCCGCCAAGTGAAAGGCTGACCACCACGCGGTCGCATCCAGTCAGGTCCTTGACGAGCGAATAGAGCGCGACGCAGTAGACGCTCAGGTGCTATGCGTAGGACATGACCGAGCCATCTCAACTGGCGCAACAAAATCAGTTTGTTGAAGGGAATACTCGCATTCACCAAAATGCGACGTCGAACGTCATTACTATTTACTCGGTGTTGCCACCAAACATGACCGATCCTCCTTAAGCAACCGTTATCGAAGCCAGAAAGACGACGCATGTCTTCCACTCGAACCGGCCAGGACTCGCACCCATACAACAATACAGAGCGAACTGATGCGCTGTAAACGCGGCCCTTTAGGGAGAATGGGACGTCGGGACGACGCCCCAAGTGCCTCAGATTGATAAATGCTGATCGAGTCTTAGCGATACGAAGCGAAACTTCTTTGTTGATAGTGCCGTCAGCGGAAACACAGCTCCCAAGGTAAACGAAACTATCTACCTGTTCAAGTTGTGCACCTTCCAGAGTGAGTACGGGAGCAGATGAAAGCCAATCCTTGACCAGTACTTTACACTTCGATGGGGCGAAGCTCATGCCATACTTAGATGCTTCAACCGCCAAACGATCCAGAATGAGTTGCATACTCTGAGGATCGTCACCAAGTAAGACGATATCATCAACATAATCTAAGTCGGTCGCGCGCTCACCCGGTAGAAGCTCTAAGCCAAAATCTTGGAAACCTTCTAGAGCATTCGACAGAACATCTTCGATTGCGAAGTTGAAGAGGAATGGGGACATAGGACAGCCCTGTCGCACACCGCTATTGACAGCGAATTGCGAGGAAAGTTTGCCATAGACCCTCACTCTGCCGGGTGTATGAAGGTAAAGTGCTCGTAAGATGGCGGTATATTTCTATGGCACCCCGTTCTTTAGTAAGCAACGCCATAATGCAGGTCAATCAACGGAGTCAAAAGCGGCACGTATGTCTAGGAATGCAACGATAGTGGGCCTGTGATAAATGTGGCGATGTTCAAAGAGTTGGCGGAGCGTGGAGATTTGATCCACGCATCCGCGGCCAGGACGAAAACCAGCTTGTTCTTCACGGTAGTATGATTCACGTACTGGGGATAGTCTGCGAAGTAGAATGGATTCCAACAGCTTAGAGGCAACCGAAATAAGACTAATCCCGCGATGATTTGCACATGAAGTGCGAGCGCCTTTCTTGGAAATTGGGACAATAACTTATTCGCCCCAAGAGGGAGGCACTTTCTCTTCATGCCAAATTTTTGCGAACAGCGCGGTTAGCTGGTTAATGACTGCCACACCGCCATACTTGAATAGCTCCGGAGGAAGTCCGTCTAAGCCGGCAGCCTTGAAGCGCTTCAAGCGTCGAATCTCGCGGCAGACTTCTGCTTCGCTGGGTGGATTCAATGGGACTAGCCAAGGTGGACAGCAAGGTGTACTGCATGTACTGATGGATGGTGGAGGCCAATTGAACTGCGAGTGAAAGTGCTCGGCCCAGCGGTCCATACGCCTCTGTTGGTTGGTGATCGGAAACTCATCCAGCTCACAAATGACCTCACTGACACCAGGCTTCCTGAGGCCAGTGGACCTAATGAGTTGGAAAGGCCTGCTAGTGTTGCCAGAGAGGGCAGCAGTCTCCATCTCTAAAGCACGCTCAGACCACCATGTCTCGCGATCCTTGCGTAGGCTTTGCTTGAGCAGCCGGTTGGCAGAACTGCGTCACTCTTTGCAACCTGATTTCCCGGGGAAATCTGCAGCGTTCGAACAGCGCCAGAGAATGAGCAGAGATCCAAGCCTTCAAGGGGCGTCGAATCAGGCCGCAGCATAACTGTCTGGAAATGGTCATTGCCTTCCGTATACAAGTTCAATGTTGTTCTACTTCTTGCGGTGGATTGCAACTGAGTGCATATGCCAGAGAAGACTGCTGGCTCGCCTGGACAGAGGAGTCAGTTAATCTGTTTACATCAATTTTGCGGCGCTTCGGCGGCGCTGCAAAACACATACAGATTTTCGCGCGGACCAGAGCATGATCTGAGTCAAGGAAGGTGGACCAAAATGACCTGCAGTCCAGTACGTTGCCGCGCCATCTGAAGCTAATTGCAATGTGATGAATTTGAGACCACGATTATGTTGAAGAAGTGGGACGCCACGTTGCGGAACGCTTCTTCGTACGCCTGAAGTTAGTGCTGGAAAGAAACAGACGATTGTCTTCGCACAATGTGAGAAGTCTCTCCGTTATCAGAGCGGTTCTCATCGAGCGCGTGTTAACCACCAAGATGGCGTTCGTATGGTACCAGGCGGCAAACCCTTGCATTAAAATCCGCAGCAAGGATAACTACATCCGACTTTTTAGCATTAGTCAAGAGCTGTTGTAGATCCCGGTAGAATTCGTCCTTGACCGAGTCGGCACTGCAGTCAGTTAGAGCGTACAAAGAGGTCACAAACGAGTTATGTCTCTCTTCGCGGTGCCTGTTGATTCTACATGAACCCCGAAGCCGAACTGCACATAGTCGGCTGTTAATCGGGAACCAGTCCAGTAGTGCCGCCTCGGCCTTGTCACTTAGCGCTATACCTACACCAGCCAGACCCGCTGAGGCTGCTTCTGGATCTCCAGAAAGACGCAGGTGATATCTGGCTTCGTGGTCAGTAGGGGATGTCAATGTAAGCACAGTGCTGGAATCTTGCAATCGGGTTTCTGAAAGGCAGCAGACGTCAATGTCTAGGGAATCTAGGGTGCGCGCTAGACCGGCTTGCTGTCCAATCTGCATGAGTGTCCGAACGTTGAAGCACGCCAGACGGAACGAGGATTGGGGACGAAGGAGAGCCATAGGTTGAACTCCTTGGTCTGCGGCGCAACCGGAATCGCAGCCAGATTGTTGAACACATGAATCGGGTAACAGAAAGTGAGGATTGTTAACAAACAAACAATTGGCGTGTGATGAAGTCGCGTGAAAGTGACTAGCAGAAACAGCAGGTGATGAGCAAGATGTATTACAGTCCACGGTTTTGCGAGAGGGGGTGTTACTACCCGGTTGCCCAAGCCGAAGTAGGGAGTTGACTTAGGGGACTCCACCCCTAGCATTTGGCTAAATAACCAACCCGCAAGGCAACGGGGGGAATTTAGGGAATCGCGCCCATTGGGAGGCCTTGACTGAACGTTCAGTTTATGCGTCTCTGTTTGGTAGATTACCAAGCAGGGGCCCAATACTCCCCATGAAGTCAGCACACCTGCTGGAACACAATGTCCCACCGAGGTGGAACATTGTTGCCGAACACTTTGCTGGAACGGGGTACACCCTAACCACCCAGCTGGCACCACGAGGAGGTAGTTCGGCAAGCCAACCGAATAACAACTACATTGCGCGTTTGATTGAATGCACGTCGTTTCATTGGTGAAGTGCACTCGTACATACGATATCTTGGAATAAGCTCGTAACCGATCGGGTAGTTATAATTCTAAAATGGCTTGTGAACAACAGTTAATGTATTTTTTGGCGGGTTTCGCTTTTGGCACACGCGCTTATACAGGCGAAGTCTGAAAGGGCACTTTTTATTTATTTCCAGGCCTCTCAGTTCTTACCTTCTACGCCATTCAGGTACGCTTGTCTGCTGTTTACCATAGCGTGCTTTCCCTATGATTGTGCACCGAACTTGAAGATTCGCCCGTTGGCCTGCTTCTCTTCTCCACCGTTTCTCTCTTTTTCATCTTTTAACCTCGTCTTTTGAAAGTAACCAAGAATCACTGCAATCTATCACTGTACGAATCATCCTAAATCCACGTATGCACTTCTCGTTCATATGTCTGTTGCTTATGGACGTATATATATTCTGATACCGGTTTTACTGAAACTGGTTAGTCAGAAGTTGCGATCACAATCTTCCAGGCTACCTCTGACTTTGACGGACCTTTTTATGAATTGGAGATAGTACGCTGCATTTTGTCTGCACAAGAGCAATTCCCATCTGAATGCCCTGGACGCTCAGGTAAAAATATTCCATGCATATGCGTCCGTAGCGCCCTGCTTTCATACAACAACGCGCGCCACTGGCGTTTGTGTCATTTGAATTAGCCCCAACCGTTCGCAGTCGCCTTCCACGGGAAATCGGTCGTATCAAGTGGACTGGAATGTGCTGGCTGCACCCAAATGATTGAAAAAAGCGGTTGATGTGGAACTGAGGTTGGGTTCGGTTTTCTTCAGTTTTGGTCC